GGTAAATAGACGAGGATCACAGTTGTTTCTAAAATACCATTGTACCTCATGAACATTATACACACAATACCCGGAACATAATTAGTGTTAAATAAGTGATTTTTGGATGAATAGGTGACCTTTGGAAATGATAAATTCTTTCTATAGTAATATATTACATTTGGTTATGTAGATGTATAAACAGCTTTCTCTTAACATTTTGCTAAGCTCAGTTACGTTTGAGTAATCTGGGGCACTTGACTCTGGCTGAGCAGAGTTGGTATTATACATAAATGAACAGGGTGTCTGACGTAGAGGGCGGCTGATTGACTTAGGCCAGGTACCTGAATGGATGTAAGAAAGTTATATCCTGGTTTATTTCTTAATTAATCTTACTCTTCATTTTTTATAAATGAATAGGAAGAGACAGAATATGTGGAACTTCTGGCAGCAGAAAAGCATCAAGCTGAAGCCTTTAAAAATATGCAACATCAAAATGAAAGCCTGTCCATGCTTGATGAAATCCTTGAAGACGTGAGGAAGGCAGCAGATCGTCTGGAGGAGGAAATCGAGGAGCACGCTTTCGATGACAATAAATCAGTAAGCCGCGCTCCTGGCACTACTGAGCTGCTTACCCAGCTCAGTGGTGTGATGTTGTTCACATGCAGATCGAAAATGAAGACAAACTAGAACACATCTGTGTCATATAGAAAATGATTCAATTTGGTCTTGCACAAGTAAGCTAGTTATCTTTTCTTTTCTTTTCACACTTTTTAATAACTGCAGTCAGTTTCCCCTTATCAGTGGCTCGTCCCCGTTTCCGTGCTTTGCCACTCAGGTAGATTGGGACTCCGGTCTCAAGAAAGCTTGGACAGGTGGGCTTCAATGCTGATCTGCTGGGGGCACAAGAGACTCCACAGAAATTGATCCTCATATCTGAAGCAGGATTCTAGGCTGCTCACATGTTATAATATGTTCACGATTCCAAGGAAAAAATTGGGATTGATGCTGAAAATTGACTGTGGGTCTTGGTGTGGACTCACAAAAGAGTTAGGTAATTAAAAACAAAATCGGAATAAGATTAGAAGATTAGAGAAGAAAGGGGAGAGAATAAAATAGAATGAAAGAAATCGGAAGTTTTAAAAATTTACTAATTATGAATTAGAGAACTCATAAGTATTTTAAGGGCTATGAGTTTTTGAAAGAATGCCCTAAATCAGGTGAAGGGGATGTTTGGAAGTAGCAGGAATCCTGAACATTTTCATTCTTAAGTTACTTCTTTAACTGAAAATTTTCGTGATTTGGGCTGATGAGCATTTACTGGTCTTCTGTCACAGTTGAGAGAATGCTGAGACTGAAAGACGCTTCCGTCATTCTTCTGTGTAGCATTTGCTCTCTAAGAATTCAACTTGGAAGCTTTTACTTGCTCTTCATTGCAAAATATTGGTTATCGTTACAGGTCAAAGGGGTCAATTTTGAGGCAGTTCTGCGGGTGGAGGAAGAAGAGGCCAATTCTGAGCAGAATAAGACACGACGGGAAGTGGAGGACAGCTTGGGCCTCAGTATGCTGATTGACTCTCAGAACAACCGGTACATTCTGACCAGGCCCAGAGACGCGACCATCCCACGTGCAGACCGCCACTTCCTCCAGGTGCAGGCGGCCGCTCGGCTCCCGGTGCTGTGTTGGCGAGCATGGGCTTGGCTTCGAACCATGCCCTGCTCCATAGCCTTCGAAACATAGCCTTACTCCTCACAGAGACTCTTCTGGAATTCCCCATGCTTTCTGTATTTCAGACTTCCTCTCCTAATTGTTAATTTTTTTCTAAAGGAATAAGGCATTTTATATTTAAAATGGAAATTAATTTTGTTTTTGAGAATTTGGATGCCTTTTTGAAATTAGGAGTTACTGCGATGGGATTAAAGCCTTAGCTGTCTAAAGCCTGTTCACCAAAATAGAAAATCCTTACAAGGCAGAGATGTTTTGGCTAGGGAGTCATCTATGGCTTTATTTAGACATGGGGTGCAGAGTGAGAGAACTCCAGCGGTGCCTGGCATTCCACATGGAGGGAGGTTCACATCTGTGTCCTCCCAGGAAATCTGTCTAGGCAGGGGCTATGGAATTAATTGCTTGAAGTTGAGAGTGTTTTGGTTCAAGGCGATCACTCTGGAGTAAATTCCAAGAGAGTTACAGGGTGCAGCCCCATCAAGGAAGCCTGGCAGGATCTGATAAACTGTCAGGTCTCTAGCAAAAATCCCTAATCCTGCAGCTTTGTACAGGAAGAGAAACCCAGCCAGAGAACCCAGTCTTAAAGGTAGTGCCGACAGTCTAAAAGGAAGAAGACCCACCATACCCAAGGGCTCTTACCAGGTGCTGAACCTGTATCCACAGCCTCGGTCGCTTTCCTTAGTGGTGACTGGGATGGGCACTGGCTCAGGCCTAGTCTGCCGATTGATACATCAGCACCCTCCATGAAGGGGGGTGGGCATCTGCACTGTAAAGTTAGTTCTTTTTCCCTTGTAATGAGTATGCAGCTTTTGGGAAGATGTCTTGAGACCATGTGAGTACCCTGTTCCTCATCAGACTCCCACCCCATCGTTTTCCCACCTCTGACGGTTCTTGTCTGCATTGGCTATGAGATGATGGTTATAGTGACTTCGTATGGTGGGAAAACCAGCGGGGAAGGTGTCTGTGCCGCAGTCAGAACACCAGCTCTGAAGGTTTCCTGGGTGAGAAAACTCAGTGGAATTCCAGAACTCAGAATTCTTATCACACACTTGTGGGGCTTAAGCAGAACAGACAAATTTTGCTATAGTCGTTAGGCCATGAGAAACCAGCTTCATCTACTCCCAGAACAGGTTCTTAGCGTTTCCAGCTTCTCTGGGATGCACAGAAGTAGCAAACACTTCTCCAAGGCTCCTTGTCTGTCCTTGTTCCTAATGAAGTCAGGGAGCGAAGTCCCGTCCTGCCACCTCAGTGCGCCAACCCTCTTCTTACCAACTGTTACTCAATTCTTTTTCTCATTTGTTTCATTCTTACCTTAGGACATTGTTACCATAGGAATGTTGTCTTTACCTTGTGGCTGGCTGTGCACGACAGTAGGACTGCCTACGATGTTTGGGTATATTATTTGTGGTGTGCTTCTGGGACCTTCAGGACTGAACAGTATTAAGGTAAGAACACGTTTAACTATTTTAGTATCTGCTTAATAGAATATAAAAGAAACATTCATGAAGACTAAAGTTTTAAATTTGAATGAATGAGAATACCAATTTTTTCTAAAACATATCAAAGATGTCCTTTAAAGTTTCATAAGAAATCTTCTCTAAACATAAGGAAGTTCATTTTGTTCATTACTGGAAGGGTTTCTTGGCTAGAAAAAATAACCCAGTTCATTTTGTTAAATTATATTAGTTTTAAAGATTCCATTTCCAGATTATTCAGACCACCCTTCACACACTGAAAGCAACTAAAAGTGCTGGATTAAATGTATTTTTAAGCAATTCTTAACGCATGGATAAGCCGATAAGAAGCCTACATCTTGAGAGGCCCAGAGCCCCATTTGTCAAGGCTGTTTGCCGAGCAGATTGATGGGAGCTCCATTACACGCGACAGCACTTCTGACAGGAGGGAGGGTTCCAAGTGTGTCATCTAAATCCATGCAACATGGATGAATGGGATGAGGGTGCCTGAGTTCCGAGAGGGAACAACTTGGGATGGTGGAAAATAAGCCACAGACCCAGCCAGACCTCCCTGACTACAAGTCCGTCTCTGTTGCTTATAGCAGAACACCCGAGACTGGGTGATTTATAAGGAAATAAAACTTATTCTTCACAGTTTCGGAGGCTGGGCAGTCCACAGTCCAGGGAACACATCTGGGGAGGGCCTTGTTCTTGATAGTGACTCTTCACAGCAGTACAGAGTGTCGCATGGTGAATGGGCTGAGCAAGAGAGAGCTGACCTGCTTACTCACTCTCCTTATAAAGCCACCAGACCCACACCGTGATAACTCATTACTTCACCAATGGATTAATCCATTCGCTAGAGCACAGTCCTCACAATCTAATCACCCCATAAAGCTCCCACCTTTTGATTACCATAGTAGGATTTCCCACCCTCTTAGCACTGTTACAATGGAGATTAAGTTTCCAGTGAGTTTTGGGGGGCCATTCAGTCCAAGCACTGACACTCCCCTGGTGAGTAGACATTCCCTCTGCTGCTAATGAATGAAACTTGAACCTGATAGGAAGAACCTCAGGGATTTCCCCAGACAGAAGAACAGCAGAAAGGGTCAGAAGAAGTAATCACAGAGAACTAAGTGGAACAGCAAGTCAGCACCGGCCAGGTGAAGGGCAGTTGTGCTCAGCCACCACAGGCCAAGGGCCCTTAACTTAGGGAGCAGGTAACTAACCGGAAGTGGGACTGCAGACCTGCAGGTGAGTTGGGCTCCACGTGGCTGTTTTAATTCAATTTTTTGAATAGGCATTTTTCCTGTGATTCAAAACAATGTAAAAAGCTGCAGGTGAGAAACCTCTCTGAGCCCTCGTCCCCCCTCCCTTTCCAGAATATTTGCAAATAAAAGCAAATGCAAATTATTCTTTTTCCTTTTTCTTCTTAACTGCAAAGGTAACTCATAGCAAAGAATTAAGGCTAAATAACTGAGTGATATATCCAACTGGATACTGTATATAATTCTTAATAAATAAGCTATGCCATGGAAAAATAATGTAATTATAAATAGACCAAGATGAAAATCCAAGAGTATACTAGCCAGAAGTGGGGGGTGGTTCATGGCAGAAGTATAATTGTACCAAAATATTTATCTTTTACTAGTAAGAAGTTGATAGATTTTCATTTACTAAGTTAAGAAATATAGGTTTAAGTATGTTATTTTGAAGACTTGAGTCACAGTCTGATTAAATAAAGGGAAGGAAAAAAAAGTAATGGTAAGAAAGCATAAAAATCAGAAGATAGAATAAATGAGAGCAAAGATCTGGTATAACAGTAAGTATAAGTGAAGTAAACTCCTCTATTAAAAGATGTAGGTTACCAGATAATGTCAGGAAAAAAGTACTATAAACAGGGATTCACTAAAAATAAAGCAACTAAGAAAGTTTAGGGAAAAGATGCAAATAAGAACAGGGCAGTTTCACAGTAGTAGTAACTGACCAACCGAGTCAGCTCATGGGGTCAGGACCGTGTGTGTGAGATAGATGGGCCCTGAATGTAGCCACAGTGAAGCTCCAGCAGTAAGGTGTAAACTCAGGCTTAGTGCCTGGCCATCCCCCCGCAAAGGCTAAAGAGAGGAACGGACGGAGATGAAAGGGACAGTGAATTTGGAACTAGCTGAATTCGCAAGCTAGAAAGCACAGTGAAAGTAGATATTCCTCTGGCGAGTCAAGAAAAAAGGAAGGAAACACCACAGTCAGGAAGTCATAATTATCTCAGATATAGAAGAAATCCAAGAATTTGTTTCTTATAATAATAGTGGGTTTGGGGGGACATTCTCACTGAGTGTATTAGTACACGATTGTTGGTTAAGTACATTTAATATGTTAAACCTAAAAAATGACATGGTTTTAAATTTTCTTGTTTTTCAGTCTATTGTTCAAGTGGAGACATTAGGAGAATTTGGGGTGTTCTTTACTCTTTTTCTTGTTGGCTTAGAATTTTCCCCAGAAAAGCTGAGAAAGGTAAGGACCCTAATCAATCTGTTATTGTCCGTAAGCAACTTCATATCATATGGTTTTGGTTTATTTGCTTTTAACATTTGTTGATTACTTGGCTATCAAATTAAATATTTTCAGAATAGAATATGATATTTTAATTTGATATTATTATGGTTTTTTATTTTTTTAGTTTTTTTGGTGGCTGGCCGGTATAGGGATCCAAACCCTTGACCACAGTGTTATGACACTTACCCCAGCCAACTGAGCTAACTGGCCAGCCTGTTTGATACTATTTTTGGAACATAAATTTGAAAAGATAAAAAATGTTAGGTTTGAAAAAGTGGAACTTGAGTCAGTAATTTGAATTAGCTTTCATGTGGCTAATTCCAGGAAAGTTCTGAGAGGTAATATGTTTGAACTTTTGAATAGAGATCCCTCCAGGAAGGTGCAGAACTGTTACAGGGTGACGTGTCTTAGAGACTGAACATTCAGTGTCTTACTGTAGAAAAAGATGCCCAGGCTGGAAGTGAATTAGTTAAAAGGTACTTTGTCTTTCAATAGACACCTCTCAAGAGGAAATTAGCTGATTAAAAGGTGGGCAGAGAGAGAAAATGAACACTCTGGGTAACCAAAAGAAGAAGTAAATTAATACCAAGCAGATACCATTTTACCTGGAGTACTAACTGGAATACTAATGTCAAGTTGGCAAGAAGTTTTAATGCTGTGAGGGGTAGTAAAATAGGCACTCTTGAGCCACATCAGTGAGTCACACTGGTACTGCGGTTTTGGAGCACAATCTAGCAGTTCGAAGAGCCTTAAAATGTTTATATCCTTTGGGGGGTAAAAAATGGCGACGGGTCTGGAGCGCCCGCGTCAGGAAACAGCGCGATCCTGAGAGCTGTG